TGCAGGCGGATGGCATATAGCAGCATCGCCCTGCTTTGTGCAGAGATTTCCATGGATAGCAAGGCAGCAAGGTACTGTATTCCAGCAACCTATGGAGGAAGCATTTTCCATTCTTTTTGACGACTGCTTTTTGAAGACTTTTGTGTCTCCTTTCTCTACCAATTGTGGATATATACATATTTTACAGGCTTCTTGGGCAGTCATTTCTGGGATGTATTTTCTACTTGATTCTACTTCATTTTCTACTTCATTTTTTTTAATCAAAGTGTTCAATTTTGTTCAGGAGAGTGAAATTTCATTAATTTGATTTTTTCATCTCTTTTGTTATTGGCATCCACTTTGATTCATTGTTAGATGTAATAGGAGGAGAATGGTTCTGGATCTTTTTGCAATTTTCCCAGTGAATCTGGTTGGTAAAGAGTAATGCTTTTCTTTTTTCATCTCTCTTGAATGGTATATGTGTTGCTGGTTATCTTGTCTTACTCTTTCTCTCTCTCTCTCTCTCTCTCTCTCTCTCTCTCTCTCATTCCTTCTCTCTCTCTCTCTCTTCCCTCTCTGTTCCATTTCTCTCTCGATCTAAATCTCATGATTAATTATGTGAATCGAGCATAATAGCATTCTGATTTCACAAGTCATAATTAATCAGCTGAAATTCCATGGTCTGTGTAAAAACTCCAAATCATTGCTAAAAATATACCAGCCAGAGTAGATTCGAAGATCTTATTTTGTAGCCACTACATTTTTTATTCAATGTTATTTTTTATGATATATTGCATATGATTGAATGAGAAGTTTTGACTTAGTGTGAAAGAGTCACAGGACAATATGTGTCTTATGTGAAATGGATCAAAGAAGAAAGCCATGTTATTAATTTGTTAGTGTATTGCAGCCTGCTTGGTTAAGAGGTTTCTCTTCTCATAGGTAGGCAAACCCATTTCATACTCACCAGATGAGAGGGTCGAGTCCGGACCCAATTGCTGATAGGAATGGGATAGCATCACTCCACTCCATACTCTGTTCAGACTTTTCAATCCTTTTTGTGAGGGGGTCGAATGCCTGTGACTCTGAACTGGGAGTCTGTATCTTTCTTATAAAGAAGTACTGGGTTCGGATGGACTCATCTCCAAATGCATTGATGCGTTGTATGTTTTACTTTCGAATGGTAGAAAATTAAATCATTATCTAATTCTGGCCAAAGCATATGTAGAGCAGGATCTCTATTACCTTTGAATATCAAAAGTAGCCTAATTTACCTCTGGATCATTTCGGTAGCACTAATGCTTCTCTGTGAATATGAACGTGGTGTGTTTATAGGCAACGCAGTGAATGAAACGAATACCATATATGGATGAATTAAGATGCCCAGCTTTTCTGTGTGTTTGGACTGGATTGTTTGTACGTTTGCCAAACTCTTATATCAGGAAACCACTTGTTTTCGCAAGATGAGTTGTAGTTGATTTAAGCGATTCTGAGGAGGAACTTGATTCCATGGCATTGATAGGGTCGCTGTTGATGTTTGCTTCAGGTCGAGGATTGCTTTATGCTTGCAAGTACCATTCGATGCCAATGATTGGTTCATATTGTTAATATTTGCTTTGATTTGAATATTGCGTTATACCTGTACTTGAATGTTGGGGAATTCATTGGATAATGGCTTTATACAGGGAAGCAACCTGTGTGAATCTCCACTGGAAATAATTTCTCTAGATCTCTCTTGATTATGGCATTTTTAGTGATACTTTAAAATGAGAATGTTACTGTTATCATCTAGTTTCTTAACCTGTCTTTTGAATTGCAGCAAAGGATTCCATTTATCTCAAATAACCCAAAGTTCATGTTCTACACTGTAATAGGGGGAAATATATCTGAACTGCAGTATTGATCAGAGTACCTTAGAGAAGGGTATTTTTTGAGAGAGAGAAGAGAGAGAGAGAGAGAGAGAGAGAGAGAGAGAGATGAAGGGGGGGGATATGAAAGTGTATCTGAATGTGATCTGATTATATGAATTTATATTGATGCTATAGCATATCAATACATTTTAGGATTATTTTTGTTGGTTCACTGTGTAGTATGTATTGATTGTCATAAAATATCTAAAAGTTATAACCTTCAGCGACCTAGTTGTTTTGTGCACTCTAACTATGCAAATTCAATGTTCCTTGTAGTCAGAGTAAGTGCATGTAGAAGAACCTCACACAGCAGTCGATGCTTTCAGGGTACTCTTGTACGATTGCAGAAATCATTTTTAATGCATCATTTAAACTAATAACTCTTGGCACCAAACTTGGCTCTCGATGTGAACGGCTTCGTGCATCTTCCTTGTCTGCCTATATACCGGAAAATGAACAGCTGCGTTTAGTTTTGGCTGTTTGCTCATTCATTGTTATCCCACATCGAGGTACTTCTGTATGTTAGCATTCAGCGATAAGACGGGACAAAGTACAGGGCGTTTAGAGACATGCAAACGTCGCAAGATATTCATAGACATGACTCACACATTAAACTTGGAAAATTATATGTGAATTATTAAGATCATAGGATGCGCGGGAAGACCGAAAGTTTGGGGTCCACGTGGTGGTGGTGTTGAAGCTTTGGAGGAGTACTATCAATTGGAGAAAGAATAATTACTGATATTGGAGAAATAATATTCGCTATCTGTATGATGGGAAGGATGGCTTGCAGGTTTGTATATTTCTTGAGGAATTTTCGTGGGAAATATCTGGATGACAATCATTGAATGATATGAAATTGAATGTGTATTGAATTTGGAGCCTTGTGCATTGGGTAGGACATATAGCACCAGTACAAACACATTTAATAGTAGTGGATCTATATGCTGTGTTAGTTGTTTTAATGTCTCCATATAAAGCAGAAACTGTATTGTCTGTTGTATTTAAATTGGAGCATATTTTGTGTGTTTGCTCTCTTTCAATTGTTTATATTTGAAAGCAGATTGTTGCTGTTTTTTCTGGAGAGTTCTATTACTTGGATTTAATGTGAGAGATCGAAACCATAAATTTCTTAGAATAGAAGTATACTCTCTCAACTAGATAATTATGGCTAGTACCTGAGAAATTCTATTCCTTTTATAGTCGAGCCCATTTGTGGTATATGGTTGTGGAAAGGAAGTATAGTCTCATGGTCAAGGTCTTTATGAACGAGAACCGAATATTTGGGGTTATACTATGCCTTCCTTCAACCCCGGATCTACCACTGAAACTATACACCAATTAAGAGCATATTTAGAGAAAAAATTAGAAACCCATTAACTTTGAGTCACTAGTACTCTTTTCACACTGGTTTTGCTTAACCCTGTACTTTGCTTAGCCCCGTACTATCCTTAACCCCGGATTATTTTGGGGGCTTTTCACACACGCTGTTTTTAGTCCCGTACTAGGGCCTATTCCGGAATAAGAAAATTCTAGCTGTTCTCACTGCAATTCGTTAACCCCGGATATCGTGAATGTTATGATTGGACATACTTCGCATCTGGCCAGCTTCGATACGCTCCATTGCGTAGTACCGGACTATTTTTCGATTCTGTTCTCATTCATTTGCTTAGCACCGCAATTGCGGGGTTAGCAGGAGTTAGCACCACAATTGCGGATTTAGCCCTGCTATTTTGCAGGGTTAGTTAACCCCATACTATAGGTGGGGTTAGCCAACTTTAGCCCACTTTGGTAAAAACCAGTCTGAACAGAAAGTGGAATAGGCTTAACCCCGTACTATAGGTGGGGCTAAGACCCCCCTTAACCCCACCTATAGTACAGGGTTAAGCAAAATATTGCCAGTGTGAAAACAGTATAGCTGTTATCAAGTTGAAAGATTGCAATTGCTGGTTGTGAATGAGTGGATAGCTAACGCTCACGGAAGTATTATTGGTCATTGCAAACGCAAGATCATATGCAGTAACAAACTTAAGGTAATCCGATTTGATAGCAGCGCTTTAGATATATGCTAGGATTTCAATTACTTCTCAAGTGCCTTAAAGAGCTAGACCGATCAAGAGAGCCAAGAATAGTATTAGAAATTATTATTGATGAGTATGCAAATACCTGAACGATATTCTTCATAACTGCATTGCTCGTTCCATTAGGAGATCAAGGAAGTACTTAATGTGTAGCATAGGTATGATAAGGACATGTGGATGGTTGATTATTTTAGTGTTTAACCTGTTTAAATTTGCTTGAGTCATATAATAATGTTTACCGGTATGGTTTTGAAACATTTATTATGAATGTTTGAATGCTTTGTATTGATAGGAGTGCAGTGGTGAATGTCACTTTCTGGTTACCATGAATTTTATATACTTCATACGTTTTGTTTTTCATGAACACTCAAGGTTATGAGGATATAAGCTGTAATTTCTGTGGTAGTGAATTGTTCATTGAACTTATTTGCTTTTTAAATGTATATGCAGATATATGTCTACCTGTGATTGAAACAAAATAATCCATGAAGTTGGGATCTAGTTCAACAGTGTTATCTTTCTTTTCAAGATAATTACAGTTGGGCAGCAAAACAGAAAATTGTCGATCTTTGTGCATGTAATCAAAACAATGGGGCCAAAATGATATCTTCATAAGTTCATATCCAATCTTTTAACTCCTTTTGCACCACCGAGTTTACATATATGAACAATTTATGAACCTCAAGATGATGAATTTTGAGTTTCATTCTTTGTATCATTAATAATTTTGAAAGAATAATTTCTTTCTTTTAAAAATTGGAAGGAAAAAAAAACCACTCCGAGTCCAAACACATCGTAAATAGTACAGTCCTTCAATGGGAATTTCTATCCATAGCACATCAAAGGGGCTAATGTCAATGTCAGTTCTATCTTTTCTTTGTCTGCTGCCCTCACCAGTCCAGTCATTGCCATCACATGTTTTTACTGTTAGGAGAAATTTGTCTACAAGTCCAGGATCCTATTTCTATGTGCATGAACTTACTGTTCATTTCGCTTTATAAAGTGACATGTATTATTCAATATAATTATCATGTCTTTCCTATCCTCTGTCTGTCTCCCTCTACAGCCGGTCAAGGTGGTGTCGGCTGGGGGTTCCGACAACGCAGCGCTGGTCATCCTCACTGTGGTGCTTGTGGCCTGCGTGGTGGGCATCCTGATCGCCATAGTAACGGTGTACTGCCTCAAGAAGCGGTCCAATGAGAAGGCTAAGGTGACAGAGTTGAAGCAGTCTGAAGGAGAGAACGGGAACGAGGCTTCTGCTGACTACCAAGTAAGTTGAAATTGTCCGCGTCAAATCAAATCATATCAAATCAAATCGAATCAAATAATATCATCATATATTTTCATCTTAAAACAACACATATCGAAATTAATGAGAAATAATGAAATGCTAGAACACTGTAATGGCAGCTAGTTTAAAGCCCGGGTAATAATTAGTGCACCTTGGAATAGAATTTCTAGATAAACGGCGCTATAGAAATGCCTATTATTATTATGGTTGTGAACAAAAGTGGTAGCATCATAAAATCTGCGTCAATCACTATTAAAAGCACCGTGTCTAAGCTGGTCCCGCATTTTTAATTTTTTTTTTTTTTAGCAGACTCGTACCCCTCTCCTGCTGTGCCCTAAGCGACATTTATAAGGGTTATTCTGGAGTGCCTTAACTTACCTGAGCATATACATACATGTATGTCATTAAACACTGGGCCCAAATTTTAGGGCACTTTGGGAGTACCCATCCAAGACTGACCTAAAATTAAATAGCTCATGAAGCATTTTAACTAAAGACTGGACAAAGTCAGTACCGGGAAGTAGTATATGATTTCTGATTTAGAGGTCACTGATTCTAGAGCAGTCTAAATGCTATGTGACATTTTATACTGGTGTTTGGGCACCTTTGGTCCCAACTTGCAACACCTCTGAGAACTTCAGAGCACCCTAATTTTTGTTTGAAAACATTATGAACTAGGATTTAGTGCACCTAACATTTAAAATCATCATTATTTCCTTTGTTTTTTACAATACTGCCCTCTTCCCATACAAAGAGTGTTACAATATGCGAGTTATCTACCATTACTAAGACCCTCAAACTCATTATGGTGGCAGCAATGGGATCTATGAAATCAACTTTGATTTTTGAAAGCACATCTTGATCCAGTTCACGACAGTTGGGAAGTACCATTACTAAGACATCCAAACTCATCAAAGAGTTCATGAATTACAAAATGTATTTCATGAAAATTTACTAACATTTAAAATCATCGTGATTTCCTTGTTTTTCACAATACTGCCCTTCTTCCCAACCCACCTCCAGGACCTATGCCGTCAGCGCATGGCGACCAAGTCGGACAAGCCTGAACCGCTGACTCGCGTGAGCAGCGTGGCAGCAAGTGAGGGCGCTCAACCCAGCCCGTCTAGCCGCAGCAGCACGTCGTCATGGAGCGAGGAACCGGTCCAGTCCAATATGGACATCTCTACGGGTCACGTGGTCCTGGTAAATGTCGCCCTCTCTTGTTAATTTTTAAAGAATTTGAATAAAGAGTGTTTTCTTTGTGTAAAGTATGTGGTTTTGATAATAGGAGTCTAATTATAAGCCTGTCCTCAAGTCTTTGCCAGAAATGTCATGAGTCAGGGTTATTTTACAATCAACATTTTCCTTGTAGACTTGTTTTCTGCTAAATAGGGAGTGATTATGACATCCTAGAACAGTCATGTGTTATGCCTTTTATCAAATATGAAGCCCCTGGAATACAAACATATGTATATATAACTAAATCAGTCTTGTACATGTAAGTGGTAGCTATTACATTAATGTGTAATATAAACACTATATACATTAGATGTTTATGTATATGATTTGCTCATGTATAACTATGCCTGTTTTTTTAATTCAATTTTTAATTTCTCCTCTCCACAGAGTTACATGGAGGACCACCTGAACAACAAAGATCGTATGAGTAAGGAGTGGGAGGCCCTCTGTAGTTACGAGGCTGACCCATGCACCCAGGATGCTGGCAAGGCACCCGAGAACGCAAACAAGAACAGGGTCAAGAATGCCATCCCTTGTAAGTAACCGCCTTCCCCTTCCCTTCTTTCCCCCTCCTACCCCTCCTGCTCCTCCTCTCCCTCTCTTCCCCCATCCTCTCCCCTCCCCATGCTGCCGTCCCTTGTAAGTAACCCCTTCCCCTCCCCTTCCTCCCCCTCCCCTCCTACCCCTCCTGCTCCTCTCCTCCCCCTCCTGCTCCTCTCCTCACCCTCTCCCCCCCCCCTCTACCCCCTTCCTCCCCTCTCCTACCCCTCCTGCTCCTCCTCTCCCCCTCTTCCCCCATCCTCTCCCCCTCCCCATGCTGCCGTCCCTTGTAAGTAACCCCTTCCCCTCCCCTTCCTTCCCCCTCCTACCCCTCCTGCTCCTCCTCTCTCCCTCTTCCCCCATCCTCTCCCCCTCCCCATGCTGCCGTCCCTTGTAAGTAACCCCTTCCCCTCCCCTTCCTCCCCTCCCCTCCTACCCCTCCTGCTCCTCCTCTCTCCCTCTTCCCCCATCCTCTCCCCCTCCCCATGCTGCCGTCCCTTGTAAGTAACCCCTTCCCCTCCCCTTCCTCCCCCTCCCCTCCTACCCCTCCTGCTCCTCTCCTCCCCCTCCTGCTCCTCTCCTCACCCTCTCCCCCCCCCCTCTACCCCCTTCCTCCCCTCTCCTACCCCTCCTGCTCCTCCTCTCCCCCTCTTCCCCCATCCTCTCCCCCTCCCCATGCTGCCGTCCCTTGTAAGTAACCCCTTCCCCTCCCCTTCCTTCCCCCTCCTACCCCTCCTGCTCCTCCTCTCTCCCTCTTCCCCCATCCTCTCCCCCTCCCCATGCTGCCGTCCCTTGTAAGTAACCCCTTCCCCTCCCCTTCCTCCCCTCCCCTCCTACCCCTCCTGCTCCTCTCCTCCCCCTCCTGCTCCTCTCCTCACCCTCTCCCCCCCCCCCCCTCTACCCCCTTCCTCCCCTCTCCTACCCCTCCTGCTCCTCCTCTCCCCCTCTTCCCCCATCCTCTCCCCCTCCCCATGCTGCCGTCCCTTGTAAGTAACCCCTTCCCCTCCCCTTCCTCCCCTCCCCTCCTACCCCTCCTGCTCCTCCTCTCTCCCTCTTCCCCCATCCTCTCCCCCTCCCCATGCTGCCGTCCCTTGTAAGTAACCCCTTCCCCTCCCCTTCCTCCCCCTCCCCTCCTACCCCTCCTGCTCCTCTCCTCCCCCTCCTGCTCCTCTCCTCACCCTCTCCCCCCCCCCTCTACCCCCTTCCTCCCCTCTCCTACCCCTCCTGCTCCTCCTCTCCCCCTCTTCCCCCATCCTCTCCCCCTCCCCATGCTGCCGTCCCTTGTAAGTAACCCCTTCCCCTCCCCTTCCTTCCCCCTCCTACCCCTCCTGCTCCTCCTCTCTCCCTCTTCCCCCATCCTCTCCCCCTCCCCATGCTGCCGTCCCTTGTAAGTAACCCCTTCCCCTCCCCTTCCTCCCCCTCCCCTCCTACCCCTCCTGCTCCTCTCCTCCCCCTCCTGCTCCTCTCCTCACCCTCTCCCCCCCCCTCTACCCCCTTCCTCCCCTCTCCTACCCCTCCTGCTCCTCCTCTCCCCCTCTTCCCCCATCCTCTCCCCCTCCCCATGCTGCCGTCCCTTGTAAGTAACCCCTTCCCCTCCCCTTCCTCCCCTCCCCTCCTACCCCTCCTGCTCCTCCTCTCTCCCTCTTCCCCCATCCTCTCCCCCTCCCCATGCTGCCGTCCCTTGTAAGTAACCCCTTCCCCTCCCCTTCCTCCCCTCCCCTCCTACCCCTCCTGCTCCTCTCCTCCCCCTCCTGCTCCTCTCCTCACCCTCTCCCCCCCCCCTCTACCCCCTTCCTCCCCTCTCCTACCCCTCCTGCTCCTCCTCTCCCCCTCTTCCCCCATCCTCTCCCCCTCCCCATGCTGCCGTCCCTTGTAAGTAACCCCTTCCCCTCCCCTTCCTCCCCTCCCCTCCTACCCCTCCTGCTCCTCCTCTCTCCCTCTTCCCCCATCCTCTCCCCCTCCCCATGCTGCCGTCCCTTGTAAGTAACCCCTTCCCCTCCCCTTCCTCCCCTCCCCTCCTACCCCTCCTGCTCCTTTCCTCACCCTCCTCACCCTCCTCTACCCTCCTCACCCTCTTTGCCCATCCTCTCCCCCTCCCCCTTCCCCTCCCCATCCTTTTTCTCCTATTGCCCCCCTCTTGCCCCACTCCCCTTCATTCCCACCTCTACCCCCCTCTCCCCTCCTCTCCCTATCCCTTCCCCCTATCCCTTCCCCCTATCCCTTCCCCCTATCCCTTCCCCCTTCCCTCCTCTTCCCCTCCACTTCTCCAATCCCCTCCTACCCCTCCTCATCCTCTTCCCACATCCTCTCTTCTCCCTGCCTATTTTCTGAACCCCAACTATTCATAATACTTACATTTTATATCACTGGATCGCAAAACCAAACTGTTATTAACAGAGAAATGCAATAGCGCCATCTGTGTATTGGTTTAGTGGTGAAGTGTGTTTGTGAAGAGGGAAGCTGCACTTCTTGTTAATTTGTTGTAGTTCTGATAACAGAAGAGTGCCATCTTGTGATACTTTCAAACATGCAGACAGAGATTACATAGTACCCCCCCCCCCCCTCATGTGCCAGTTGACCTGGAAAATAATGGGGAAATTACATGTATGACAAATATTACAGATATGTATCTGTTTTTCTTCACAAAACAGACATATTACGTCCAGCATATTAAAGATGATCTTGTCCAGGCCCATTATTCCTATAGTATGTTTCTATCTCCGGCTCTCTCTTACAATATTAATATGAAATAAATTAATATACTCTCTGGTCTGAGGTCATAATTTGTCCATTCTATTTAGTTCGATACATGTATTTCATTCATTTGTCATGACTGCTATCGACTCGAGCATTCATGCTTTTGATAGTTGGCCTCTGCATTTATCTTGATTCTGTGATTTACCTCCATACTTACAAGTTTTCAATTATATATATGAATTTTTTTCTTCTGTAGTTCAGTTGTCACATTTTATGTAAATAAATTACATTATATACAATAAATGTTATTTGAATATTTTGTATTTGATTTTTCAATAAATGCAGAAACATCCGCTAAAAATAAATATAACAAAAATTATAGGTGGAACAGGATGTACGTCTTCAAACATTTTTTTTTTTCCCTTTGGGGGTGGGGGGAGCAGTTGTCGAATACACTATCAATTAGTCAATTAATCAACAAATCAAAAACTAAGTCAGATATTTTATTCTGTAACTCTTTTTTGTTGTTCTCAGATGATCATACAAGGGTGAAGCTGACTGAGGAAACGAGCGCCAACAAGTCGGATTACATCAATTCCAGTGCTATTGTGAGTCTAAAAATCATAATAAAATGATAAAAGAATTATGAATAAAGCACAAAAACTGTAAATCAACCATATTGATTTTTTTTTTTTTTTACAAATAGCATTACAGCAAAACATTGTATTCAATGATATTTACATATACAAGAACAGTAGCTCTTGAGCTAGTCTAGCCTAACCCCTTACAGCTAAACAAATGCTTACTGATCAAAGAAGAAGAAATTAGGTTGTCGAAAATTTATGTAGCTTACAAGTTTTTGTACAGTAGAAACTGTTGCATTAACAAAAATGATACTTTCATCCTTAATGCTTTTATGAGACTAAATTGATAACTAAAAGATCTCATTATATTGTTTGAGGAATCTCATTGTTTTGTTTTACTTATATGTAGGGTCTGAGAAATCTTGTCATTTTGTTTTACTGATATGTAATGTCATGTATGCGATGCAAGTGACATCATCTCTCAAGTATAAGATAAATGAGAATACCGCAAATCTTGTTTCCATAATTAACTGTCCAGATAACCATGTTTACAATAAAGCTCACAGCAATATTATCAACTCTTGTTTTATCTTTATCCTGCATCAACTTTAACATTTGACCTTTAACCTTTGAACCAGATGGACATTGATCCTCGAGCTCCGGCTTACATCGCAACTCAGGCTCCGCTAGCCAACACTCTGGCTGACTTTTGGCAGGTATGTTCAATAGTCTTCATGGAACAGTGAAACCTGTCTATAAAGACCAACCAAGGGAGACAAGAAAAGTGGTGTTTATAGGCAGGTGGTCTTTAAATACAGGTTCAATTAGTACATGTTTCAATGAGAAACCATTTGTAAGGGAAACAAAAAATGTGGTCTTTGAAGACAGGGGTCTTTCTATACAGGTGGTCGCTAAAGCAGGTTCGACTGTATATTAGAAACCAAGATCTGGTTTGGTTTGGTAGTTTGTTTTATCTGACTGCTAAGAAAGCATGTGTATGCTTGTAAGTATGCAACAAAGGGACTGAAGGCTTTACATCCTCTCCAAGGGACTTGATAATGAAGATTAATGCCTTCCAAAGGGCACTAGTACATTGGTTTGGTGTAAAGCTCAGGACCTCAGAGACATGAGACCACGTACATGTACAGTGTATTTCTTTATGAATCACATCAGATTTAATACCTTTCTATTCCTAAACTACCAACCAATAGATTTATTCTGAGAAGAAAAAAAATTATATTCTGTAAAAAGCCATTATACCCTTATGATTACATTTCTATATAACAGAGGATTTAACCGGCTATAGGGATACAATCATACAATCTACAAAAAAGCATGAATATTCTACTTATTGCCTTTATAATTCATTCCATGTGTATTTGTAATTAGCATGTTGTTTTTAAAAAAGGGAACATATGTGTCTCCGTTTAATTGCAATTTAATTCTTAATTCTACTGGTATTTATAAAATGAGATGCATCACAGATGGTCATTACCTTGCCAAACAGAATGATGCATTGCATTTCAACAACATACAGTATTATTTGATTAATTACGGAAAGTACAAAGGAATATTGCATGATTAATAGCAATGTTGTTTATACCTGCATCTTATACATGTAGCTTTTACAATTATCAGTGATTCATATGCGTGCCAAATTCAATTGGGTTATACTCCATAGAGCATATATGGTAGTTTATAAAATATGCAATTAATAGTGCAGGAGCTTTAATTTTACACTTGGGTATATTCTTGAAATAATTATAAGTCAGTCCTTCAAAAAGTGATTGATTTCCTACAACTTGATTTGAAATTTATTCATTTTTGTTCATGAAGGTTGTTCTGACTCGTTGAGTACGAAGCTCAATATGACCCAGGCTTGAAACTATAGAGAACATATTTGATCAATTATCACATTTAATCCAACAGGGTAAAACTGGGGAAAAGTTCATTACATTTGTCATTAGATCTACATGCATCATGCCTATAAATACTCCTATTTATGTTATAAAATCATTTATATGTATCTACATGTACCGCAAAAAGTACACACACACATTATTTGGAGTACTACATGGAAATTCAAAAAGACTTGATTTGAATAATATTTGTCAGAATTTTAATATTTTTGGTCTGGCGTATTCCCAATAATATCATATCACATGCCCCTTATTAATTTCAATCCGTTCAATATACATGTAGCTACCGTTTACACGAGCCTGTGCACATGGAGTGGAGAAAACGTGAAGCCTTGACTATTTCCTTTAATATATCTCCCCATTAAACCAACATGGATCAAAGCAGCTGATTAAAGGAACGTCTGACGTTTGGGCTTATACTGGGCACGCATACACCCACCCGTAGACTATGTGGATAAGAATCGTTGACGTCGGTTTCGCAAACGGATTATGATAGCTCTTATGTGGCTGATAACTGTAGCAAATTTTATGAGACATGGATATGATTTTAGCAAGTTTATCCAGAAAGTCCTGATAAATTTTCCCAAATTACACTCTAATATATCAAATGGATTATGGAAATTCATAGAATACGGGTGTATGAGAGACATTTTTGTTCTAGTACATGTATATACAAATAACTGTATTATCTTTTTTTTTTAATCGAGTCTGGGGGATTTAATGAGCACGTACCAGATGTAAAGATATAACTGTTCAAACCTAGCCCTTGTTATATCTTAATGAGATGTATATCTCATTCCTATTATTAGAGAGGTTTATATCATTTTTATATAAGATATATATCAAAGATGATGTCATTCTGAGCTATTTTCTTGAAAAATAGAAGTAATTTATACATTTGGCTTTAGGGAATTAATTTCTAACTTTTAGCAAATGAAATAAGAGTAGGGTAGCGAAATGTAGTGGCATAACAAGAATTGACTGGAAGGCCAACCGCACAATTTTTGAAAATCATTGTTTGATCACTCATGGTAGAATCATAGGGCTAGGATATGGAGCTGGTAAATGCATGTACAGTGAAACCTGTATATAAAGACCACTCAATGGAGACAAGAAAAGTGGTCTTTATGTACAGGTTGCTTCAGTAAATGTTCCAATGAGGCACCATTTTCAAGGGAAACAAAAATTGTGGTCTTTATAGACAGATGGTCTTTCTATACAGGTGGTCCCTGGAGCAGGTTTGACTATACCATCTCAATAAAGCTAAATGATAGCTAAACTTATCCTGGGAATTGGGCGTAAAGTTATACAAAGTTTATTTGCCTCTGCCACCGTGAAGATGAATGATGAAAATTGCATGTATGTGCACATTGTTACTACTGCTTTTAATATATCCATAATGCCCTCAATGTCTGTTGTTACATGCACATGTACCATGTATATGTATGTTATGTAAACCAATACACATCTGCAAGCAATATTTTGCCATTTTCACATTTAATTAATCTGGGCAGAGGCCTGTAGCATATTCTATATTGGGAGTCCGTATGGCAAAATGTTCTCAATCAGATACAAGTGGAACTGTAGCTTCTGGCCAACTTTATGAAGATATCCACTTTTGTTTCATGGAGAGAAAAATGACAAAGAAAAATGCTTGAAATCAGGTTTCTTGGACTAGTCCTTGAGATGTTGAAGTGTTTATTTATAGAGCGAGTTTGCCATGAGCGTTTTGTCTGATTTCTAGGTTTATTTTCTTAAGATCATTATTTTGTATTCCATAACGGCTTACACACTCCATATTTGTTCACCGACAAAACAAAGTTATCAACAAGTACATATTGGATTGCTTTGTCAAAACAGACTCTTCTGTTTGTATTGTGAAAACTAATACTTCAGCGTCTATAAATAATTGTTCTGTATTTAGTTGATTTAGCTTTGTAAACCAAGAACAACCCCAGAATAATTAAATATTTACCCTCAATGCTGTCACTTACATGACACACCAGCCTGATGATAATCATCGCACAGTGCACACTTTATTAATAAAGACACACTGATTTGTTTTTAGTATGTATTTATATGATGTTATTAAATCACATGTTTGGACACAGTTTTGGCGTTTGTAGCTGTGTGTGCTGTATTTAATGCAAGTGCTTACGCCTGCATTGAGTAGTCTACTCAACAAACTTTTGTACAGAGTATTTAAACTGCAATATCTCTTACTAGAGCAAATATTTGAATCTCATAGTTTAGACTACAGTACAGCAACATTGAACCCTTTACATCAAGAGCAAAACATATGTTTAAGTGATTGGTACACTTTAAGTCACTAAAGCATCAAGTTTTTTTTTTTAACTAAATAACATCTTTTTCCCAATTTTTTTCTTCTTCTCCGACAGATGATCTGGGAGCAAGGCTCAGTCGTCATCGTCAATCTCACCCACATGTCCGAGACGGACATCAACCGATGCCGCTACTGGCCCGACGAAGGTAGCGCCCTCTATCACTTCTACGAGGTGCATCTGGTGTCCGAGCATGTCTGGTGCGAAGACTACCTGGTCCGTAGCTTCTATCTGAAGAACTTGGAGGTAAAATTTAAAATACTCTAGAGACTGGTTTTCTTTTTTGTGGTTAACCCTTTGCGTATGGGAACTGTTTTGTAATTAGGTCTAAAAAAAAAACATGTATTGGAGACCGTCCCCAAAATCTTGAAATCGGTCAGCTTTTTAAACAGTTTTTTTGTTAACGTTTTAAAAAAAAATGTTTTATGAATAAAAAAATATATATTAAAGCATTCAAAACTGAGAAATATCAGCCCTAAGAGGGAGAAGATAAAAAGTATACAAAAAGAAAAGATTTCCAACCAACTGACCCATAATTTGGTACCTAAAGGGCAATACAACATCTTTTTTTTAGGCCTTAGAACTACAACAAATTGACAAGAACTTAGAAGTGCAGCTACCCTCTTCACAAACACACTTCACCACTAAACCAATACACAGGTGGGGCTATTGCTTGTCTCTGGGAGGGACCAAAAACTCCAATCGGCAGTACAAAACACCTGTATAACAACGCTACCCTCCTCATCATGCACGGTAATGTGACAAACCAAAACTAACAGGTGTATGAGTACACGGGACTTAAGATTATCCACCGCATGCCTTGTTGTGTATCGAGATAAGACGATTACAGCGACCACGAAGTGAGTCAATCCAAAAAGGATTTGGTAAGATGAATAATTCAAGACGGTAGTCATCCGCGGAAACATGTCTGACCGATCACGACCCACGCCAATGTTGCGCTTAATCTCTGTAAATCTTCGCTACCTAATGACAGAGACCTGTAAGTTAATCTCATTTAGGATAAGGGTGATGATTAATTCCAGAGGTTTTTTCTCTTCGTTCATCCCTTCTGGAACTTTTTAGTCAGCTAGGCGATTGCCAAGTTGCCAGGAAAGGTCATTTGGGGACAAATCCCTCGCTCGACTGAAAGGAAATAGGGGGTATTCCAATGACGGAACGGCCAGCTGGGGCGGAATAATCTTTTGTTGAAAAATTGCCAAAATACTCCTCAAATTTTGTATCATTTTCCGAGTAATTTCATATCATCAGGACCTATTCATATGCTTTAATAGAAAAGAAATAAAGTGGTTAAGTATACATGGCAACAACATAATTTTCATTAATTCCTAGTCTTGTTTGTATTGTTTGCTAGAGATAGAAAAAAATCAAGAAAAATAATCAATATTCTCTTTTAAAACCAAAATTATTATGCAAGCGTTGTAGTGGTTCATTCTCTTGACTCTAATTAGAACAAAACTTGGGGTTTCAAATTGCTGCCTTCTGCATGAATCATGTCCTGAGACAAGGTATTTTATCTACAGTTGCCTCTCTCCACCCATGTGTTAGGGTATGGTACTGAAAGTTGAGAAGAGAAAATTAAAATTCCTGTGTAAAAAGCATATGTGTGTAAAGCATGAAAATTAAAAAAATCTGGTGTATAAAGCATTTAGCTATACTGCATTACTATGTTTTCATGTATGTATATATATGCATAACTCCTTATTAAACAAAACACACTCAAAAACTGTGTTCATTTTGTGACTCATATTGCAAACTTCCTGGCATCGGGGATAAAGCCGACAACGAAATGCATGGTCGGGACTGGGCTCCCTTCCTGAATTATCAATTTAATTTATGCCACCCTAATTCAGCAGTAAGAGAAGAAATTTGCTTCCACAAACTCCTATGTGGAGATGGTATCATGATTTTAGACTAATTCATGATGAGAGACAGTTTCTCTTCTTGTTAAAGCATATAGCTTGAGTCAGGTGTTTTTCACTTGGTTCCTGTAGGATATGAAACGTATCATTGGTGTTTTACTTAATTCAATTTTGGAAGAGAGATCAAACTTTTTCCAATTATATCATGTGTAGAGTATATGCCTAGGTCAGAATTTGTTAATACTTCTTAATACTTTGTTTGAATAAAGATTAGTTAATTGTGAAGCTGCAGGTGTTATTGTTGAAGTATTAGAGCTTAAAGTTTTGATCTTTTTTACAAGGAAGAGGAGGGGGGTAAAGGAGGAGGCAGAGGGTCTAGTTTGATGGATACCATTAAGATGGATCTTATAAAAAATTGAACTGCGGTTCTTGTAATAATGTAATCCTATGCTGATTCTCTCTCTCTCTCTCTCTCTCTCTCTCTCTCTCTAACTCTCTCTCTCCTCTCCTCCCCTCTCCATCTCTCTACTTCTCTCTCCCTCCCTCCCACCCTCCCTCCACCCTCCCTCCTCCCTCCCTCTTCCCTCTCTCTCCCTCTCTCTGTCCCCCTCTCTTCTCACCTGTAGACCCAGGAGACGCGTACCGTGACCCAGTTCCACTTCCTGACCTGGCCCGAGACTGGATGCCCTCCATCACCCAAGTCATTACTGGAATTCAGAAGGTCAGTAACCATGTCATAATCACTCATTAGCTGCATTAACGAACTACTAAAAAATCATTAATTTTTCTCACATTCTGGGGGGTGTTTCACAAAACTTGTCATCAGTGACAGTTGACAGTTTTTGTTATAAGCTACTGAATTCCTTGCTTCTAATTGGTTATCGGCAGATTTGTCACTGATTTTTTTCTTCTTCATTTGTCATTGAAGAAATGCTATGTGAAAGGGGTCCCTGGTGTTTCAGTGGTACTTGCATAGCAATTACAGGCAAACACAATGAAAAATTGTAATTGAAAATCCACCTCTGGAGTGTGGTTTATTTCAGTGCCTGCCTGCCAAAGTTTCATTGATTTTTTGCAGTGTAAAAGCAAACTTCCATGAGATATGCATTTTTGCCCACGTGACTCTCCTTGCTTCTGTGCAAACGCATGCAAGGCTCCCACGAGTCCTGCATGCACGCTACTCACCAAAAAAATATTAGGAGCAAACTTTGACAGTTTTTGCATTGGTTTCTCCAGTAGTGTTAACGGTAGACAAAAAAATTGATGATTTTTCAAAATGGTGTTTGGGATCTGTAAATGGGCCTACTATCTATCTCTTATCCCTCCACCACTGTCACATATAGAAATATCTAATAATAACTAACTTGCCAAAATGATTAGCATGTTTATACTCACAGGTATGCTTGCCTTTGTGTAATTAAGGGCCTGTTTCATAAAACTTGTTATCAAGAACAAATTACAAAATGCTAAGACAAATTTGCTCTCAGCCAATCAAATGTTACGATATCGGTAGCTTATAACAGTTACTGTAACTTGTTATTGATAACAAGTTTTATGAAACATGGCCTGCTGTGTTGTATGAATATGAATGAGCTTGGGAACAAATCTCATCATTTCTCTCCTTCATTGAATTCCAGAAGTATGTACTTGTAATGGTCATTGAAACTAACACCTACATTTACAACTATGTACATAAGAGATAGGAGACTGCAAACTGGCGATGGATTTTGATCAACTGCAACTCCTCATACTACTGGACCCTTGTCTATCTTTCAAACTCTTCTTTTCTTGTTTGTAGTATCACATTTCTTTCATATTTATTAATTTTTGTTTTAAATTGTCCCCTTAAATCCATAGTATACATTCCTGGATAAATTAATTCACATTGCCACTAGATTAGCACTAATTTAACCACTGCTAATGGACATCACCTTAAGTATCATTCATGTACAGAGAATAAATTGCGCAAAGAGGAAAACAGTGTTGACAGATGCAGCTAGAAATAGGTCTACCCACATTTTCATGTTTCCAAATTTTCTTTCTGAATTAAAAAGTGGATAGCAATCTAATGAATTCCTATAAATAAGCATATTTGACCAAAAATGGAAATAATCACTCATATGGTTGAGTGGGTTTCTATCGTACTTAATTGCTGAGGAGTTCTGCATAAATGTGTCTGATTAATGTATATGCAGAATGTAAAAATAGAGAATACTTTTTGGCAGTTCTAGAGATTTTTGGTTTGAGGGGTTGGTGGCTGTTGCCCTAGGAATGGCCTCAATTTTTTTGGTGATGTTCTGTAATAAGAGAGAGTTAGGGGGAAGGAAAGACAGGACAAAGACAAAATCATATTTTTTCATCTTGAAATAGATTGCAAGCTCTAGAGAGAGTGAGAAGTGAATTTAGGTCGAATAGGAGAAACAGACTTTGACTGAGTTCTTCTGATTGTCCACATAATGCTAATAGATTGAGTATATTAGAAAAATAGGAATTGACATTTGACTTAATTGTTCTTGAAGTGCCCACTTCTCACGGCAAGATGGAAAAAGTAATTAAGGATAGCAGCAATTCCATTGTGCCGACCCTTGATAAAATAATGTAATCCCACAAGTAGGAATTTATGTTTTCTGAGTAATAATGTCTCTTATACCTGTAGACCACAAAGAAGTTTTGAGGTCAGCTAGAATTACCTCTCGACAAATAATTAAGGATTGTAGCAATTCCATTGCGCCGACCCTTGATGAAAAAATGTAATCCCACAAATAGGAATTGATGTTTTCTGAGTAATAATGTCTTCTATACCTGTAGACCACAAAGAAGTTTCGAGGTCAGCTAGAACTACCTCTCACCGTCCTTACATTAATCCTCCCAGCTTTTGGGAGTCCATGGTTCGGCCCATCGGGAATGGTCCCATGATAGGGGGCCGCTACATGCAATGTTCCCCTCGATCGTCATGCCATGCATGAGCTATTCTCATTGTCGCTTCTCTTCCTTGCCCGAGGGGCGACATTGAAAGGATGGAGAGGGGAGGGGAGAGGAAGGGTAGCATAATGTCCCCCCTATGATCTATTTATCTTCTAAGGTACATATGTAGGGATGATGTTGATGGGAACGAAGATGCACCCCTTTCAAAAATATAGATCTCAGGTTGTCACAGATAAAGTGTTTGTTATCTGTAGATAATTAACATACATTTTGGCTATAAAAGATTAACTTGTCTTTTCAGACTCATACTAATTCACAATCTACTATTTTGGTAGTATGCTAAATAGTTAGCTGCCTGTATATTTCTCATCTCTCTAGATCCATCTCTTTATCTATCTGTTTAAACTCTGCTACACAAAACTGTTGATTTTCTGTTTTTAAATGTATATCTCCTACTACACTCCTTTGTTCGCTGTCATTAGTACCTAACCAAGCAGAACCCATAACATGCTTCCCACAGACACCCTCTCCCCCAGCCATAGATACACGGGGGCTTCCCTCGCCCCCCTCCTCTATCTGATCTCCTCCAATGGGAGACATACCCATATAACGTTCCCTTCCTGAGCGTAAACGCAGAAAAGAGCCAACTCACCTGGCTTCGGGTAACATTGATCAAAAGATAGGCACTTCTGACCTTATCGCGCTCATCGGACACCCTTTTATCATGTTCCCCCAAGGGACTACCGGTAGCCAGCCCCACGCCCTGCCTTTCATTCCAAACTCCCAATCGGTATCTATCCGTACGTGCATTATAATGTGATTCCAGTATTTGAGAAGGGGTTGTGCACAACAAAGTTGTCTTGCAAGCCTGGTGTGATGTACATATGTAACAGTGGGAATGGGCTGGGCTTATTTTTGGCCGAAACCTGCCATTTTGAAACATCCTGAAGGTTAACTGGAGGGTAACTTTGGAGTAAGTGTCATTATACCGATAGAACATTCAAGAAGATCAAATGTTGTCCCCAAACTGCTGACTTACCAATTTTGTAGGTTTACATAGGCTATGCATATGAGGGAACTTACTGCAAAAAAATATAGCAAAACTTGGATGTCTGAAAGCACATTTCAGATTTTAAAAATCATAAAATAATTGATTGATGAAAGATATTCATTTGTTTAATTGGTCTCTTTTTGGCCTCCCATCTGATAATGATGATAACTTGATGAGCATTTGAAAAAATCTGTTTTAGTTTAGAGAGATCATCTTACTTTCTCTCTCTCTCTCTCTCTCTCTCTCTTTCTCTCTCTCTCTCTCGCTCTCTCTCTCTCCCTCTCCCTCTCCCTCTATCTCTCTCTCTCTATCTCTCCCTCCCTCTCTTTTGTCAGTTCCCCTAAACTAACAAACTGAGGAAACTAAACATTAATAATTATATTTCAAAAGGAAGTTGGCCGTTTTTAAACAAAATTGCTGTGTCGAAAGATTGAACAATGAGACAACCTTTAATTGTATTACAGTGGTAACAGCCTCTCCCACTCATTTTACTTATCCCCAGTAAACATAATAAACATCTGTTTCTGTAAATATATATTTAGGGTTAGGTAATGATGATTCCTCTTATCCACAGAAGAAGAAAAAATGCTGATTTCACAAATAAACACACAGAGAAGTAAAATAACCCCTACATCATCTGGACCATAAGTTATTGTTTAAAATATTATATAATTCAAGAGATATAAGAGTCCATTCCTAGCAAATGTATTAGGGTTAGATTACAAACGGGTTCATGTTTTAAGGTGTGTTTGCATTTCAAATTCTTTGTTGATTCCTTGCTAAAAGGAATATCGTAGTCTAACTTTTATTGTGTTATTAAATCTTTAAATAGCAAAGGCATGGCAACCATAAGCCAAATAGGAATACTGTGATTGTTATCAAATGTGGAAAAAACAGCAATATTACGTCTTAAGGGATTGCAGTCGTATATGATGTAGCATTAGGCCTGTCTTCATCAGCCACATTTGGCCAAATAGCCTTCTATTTTCAGACTCTGGATATTTTTCCCGAAGCTGGTGAAGAAACCAGACAAATAGCGGGCTATTTCGCAAACTAGCCCAATTGATATCTTGGGAAGATTTTATGAGCAAAATATAATAGCCCGCCATTTACGTCTTCACCTGCCAATTAAATAGCCTGCTATTTCGTGATCGGGTTAATTTCCCGAATCAGAAATAGCAGGCTGTTTGGCCAACTCGAGCTGATGGAAACAGGCCTATTTTTGTTAATAACTGCAGGGCTTTCAACAGGCTGTTGGATTATTGATAATTTCTTTTGCCTGCTCCCATCATAAAAATAAGCGTGTAATGGTTTGCACATGTCCGTGTCGAAGGGGAAATGTTTAGATTATAGATTAAACAACTGCTTTTTTGTTTTCAGATTTGAAATTCATTCTCTAAAGCAGTGGAAATTAAGAGTTGGAGCTTATTTTGTATGTCTTTGTTTGTAAATGAGTAAACTCATTGTTAAGAAAGGCAAGGGGGGATTAAGCAGAATCCTTCATTCAACTAGAACAAAGGTGTGTAATTATGATGTCATACCAATAATTTAAAGGATAAAGAGATGACAGAATAGAGTAGATTAAAAAAATGAGAACAATTTTGAATTCACAAGCCTTTTTTCTGAATTTTGATCATGAACAACATTCAAATATGATCACAGTAGGTGATTTTTGGCTTTAGAATAGTCAATGTTAAAGAAAGGATAATTGAAATAATAGATTTCTATAATGCTAATATTCAAAATGTTATTCAAACAAGGACAAAATATAAACTAACTGCTTAATAAATGATGCATAGTTGAAAAATATTTCTCTTCGTAATGTGATTAGCTTAGCACATGATTTGTTTTCAGATATGGTCATTTTTTGTAGATTGATGTATACAAATGGAAATTGGAAAAGAAAAAAACCCTGGGGAATGATTGTAAACGGGTCATTCGGTGGAAAAAAATATCTGTGAAATCAAAGGATATTTATAGAGCGAATGGAGTTGGGCTTTTTCAGTATATTTCATGCGTTTCCTGTTGTTCGTTTCTGGAACATCTGTCTAAAAATATGTTTTGACCAAAATTAGATTATATTGGATTTTATTTGAAAAGTAAGCTGCAATGTTGATAGCAAATTGAAGAGGTGAGAATGTTATGGTAGTTGGGGATGAAAAAAACACCTACATGAAGGTCAATACAGTGGGAAGAAATTTTTGTAAATTCTTTTCAGCAAATCTTGAAACTGATCATAAACACCTTTGAAAAAGATGGATAAATATGTTTTTGCATACAGGTACATGTATGTTTTGCCATGCAGTACTCAATTGGTTTACAAGGGTCATTTGATCATAGACTACATAATTGAACAATGTATAAAGAAGCATTTTCATAGTTTTTTACCATCCTGTTTATAGGAGGTTGTAGCTTGTTTGACTGGTTTTCTCAAAACTGTCTTGTTTTTACAATTTATTTCAAGTCACCCAAAAGAACCAATAATTTGATGTATTTGAAATAATTTTCCTTCAGTGCTGCTGACTACACGTTTCATCTCTATTTTTATTTTAAAATGTAGCGAATGTGAAAGGAATCAGTTCAACTCCTCTGTGGTCAAATTTTTCGTTATTTCTCTGCGGCTTGGCCTTTTGAAGGAAAGCTGTTAACATTCTTTTCTAATGCCATAGCAAGAGTCAGTATGCATTTGCGTTTACCTAGCCAAGTGAAAACCCTCCTACGCATCGTCTTATCATAACTAATGTACTTAGCTCAACGACCTTAAACGCTTTGGTCAATTTAGTTTGAGACTTGCAGAAGTTTCTACCCTCCTTGAAAGAGAGAGAGAGAGAGAGAGAGAGAGAGGGAGAGAGAGAGGGAGAGAGAGAGTGAGAGAGTGAGAGTGGGGAGGAGAGACGGGGAGGGGGAATGAAAGAAATGGGGCAAAGTATCTGATTTCTCTATACAGCCCCCTCTCTTACCCCTGGCTCTATGTGTCTAAGGTATATGTATATACGTTGCATTCAACGGTCTATTCCATACTCCATCACCCATCCCCCGATATCTTTTACACCAAACCTTTCCTTCTCCGTCATCCAAGACGTTTAACTCGCTCCCGAAATAGGTTCCGGCAAACCCCCTTTTCTCCAGCCATCCTTCGATCGTTTTCGCGGTGGTTTCACTATTTAACTTATCACCTCAAATTTTGTTTGCTGCAAGAAAGGGAAAATATGGTTTCCATGGCAACTTTTGCCCCGAATGTGTGTATCTATTCCGTTTTCTTTTCTCGGTTATCACTTGAGGGAATAGACGTACCCTTGGGATCAGCGGCCATCTTTCCAAGGGAGAGCCACTCCCTGTGCGAACAGATTGAATATCAGAGATTTTTTTTTCCCCTCTCTGTTTTTTTATGGTTAGATTTAAAGGTTGAAGGGTAATTGCAAGTTCTGGTAATGAGACTTTTTTTTAATAGAAACCTGCTTCTGGGAATTTTACATTGTTTGGACTAGCAAAATGCATTGTAACAAAGTTATGAAAACATCTTAAAAACAGATGTACAATATTGGACTACGGTACAAGTTACTGGCTTAGTCAAGTTTACAATATTTCTGAATTTCTCTTGGGTTGTTACTCTACTTTTCTGCACTTTCAAACAACATTAATGTATTTAGCAGAAATCTTTTATTTGTCCATTTTTATCATTCATGTCAGATAATCTTGTTGGATTTTTTTGGGGGTAATATGTCATAAACCTTAGAGTACCTTTAAGAGTTAGACGGGGAGCAAGTAGGACAAATATTTCATCTGTGGCAAATATGGCACCTTGCTTGGCTAATTTGTGTGTGTCAACCATCTAAATTGAGCGAGAAAAGCCAAGGCCAGGCCCCTGATGAATCTACTAACCCCCTTCTGATATCCCTCGGGTTTTCAGCAAGGTTCACACGACCATCCTTTAACTTAAACTTAAGGTCGTGGTCATAAACTTTGAAGTAAACTTAGTTAGGGACCGTGCGAACACACTCGTGGATAGGAAAGTTCTGAATTAACTTGAAGTTATCAATCACGTCAGATCTTAAAGTTAAAGTGTTAACTATGAGGAGTATGGGGTTATCACTCGAAGTTGTGCGCAATGCGGACGCAACTAACCACAAGGTTACGCTAGCTGGTAGTTAAAATGAATGCTTTCCCAACCTTGTAGTTCACTTTGAACACTCATTGTTTCAATTCCGTGTGAACCTTTGTTGCAGTTAGTGCATCGTTCTTTATAACTTTGAGGTTTCGCAAACTTAAAGTTTATAATTACGACAGAGCCATGTGAACGTAGCTAATATCTTCCCTCTTTAACCCTATCAATCTCAAAATCTTGATTATTAATGTCTCACCAAGGGATAGCCTACCCTTAGAAGTAAAGATATTTTATAGTGTGTGGGCCTTTTGCAATAATTTATCTGCAGCTGGCTGGAAATGTTTTTATTGAATCTTATCTGACTCTCAATAAAGGAAAAGGGAAATTAACTTCACTTTTAATACAACAACCAAAGTCATCATGTTTATTATGCGTTTCAATATATATAAACCTAACAAAGTTCATGTATCCATTTTACTTCTTGAATAACAATAATGTTGTGCATGTATTAACAAATATTAATCTGTCATCAGAAAAAAACATATAATCAGAAAGGTGTGTATATTGGTTTTAAAAAGTTAACAATATGTGTTGCATTAATAATGGAATGATATTGTATTTAACCTACTGATATAACATGTGCCTGCCTAATGTGGACCCCGCCCGTGGACTAACTCCTTCTACCCATAATCCATCATTCCCGCCAGCCCGATCATTTTTGTGTTTATGCAACTTTTGTATTTTCACCGATCAGAGTAGTTGCATAGTCACAAAAGTGATTGGGAGGGTTGGGCTCTAACATCTATGCAACGTCGTGTGTGTGTGTTCCAGACCGACTAACCAACCATCCAACCTATCGGCCAGGCATCATTGTAACCATGGTAATGGGATGCGATCACCTTGCCTGGATGCCGCCCTACTAATCATCTCGTCCTAGAGCAGATGAAAGAGGCCGGCTCGTATCATCCAATTCATACTAACGGATGCCTATAACATCAAAATGTACTTCATCTTCAAGAATTATTTTAACCATCTACCCTAATCATCCTACCGCTGGCAATGGACACTAACAATTCATCATGTCAGTAACCTGTTCATGGGATCGACGGTTATATTATACAATTTTTATACCCCCTGTATCACTCCTTTAGTCCGTCATAGAGAAGGCACTGTATGCCAATATCTAGTCAAACAAGACTTAAACTATACGCCGTAATTAAGGCTCATTGGTTCGCTGACATTGGCTCTGGCGACGATTGCTCCTGGCTTTATTTCATCAAAGACTTAGAGCATTGTGTTTCGTCCGGGGTGGAATTCAGGAGTTCATCTAGTGCAATATATATCTACTACAGAGTAGTTGAACAGATACATTTGTCCAACAATGTATATTTACATATGTTTAAATTCAGGGTCTTCCAACATCTGCTCCGGCAATAATTCGTCAAAGGTTTAGGGTTAGGGTTGCATTGGGTTGTAGGTTAGTTATAGGGTAAGGGTTAGGTATTTGGTCCAGGGTTTGAGTTATGAATTAAGTTAGTGTAGGCAATGGACTTGGAGCAATTGCCGCTCAAGCAAGTGTTGTAAAATCATTTCTAGGGGGTGTTTCACAAAGACTAAGATTGACTTTAAGTTGGACTTAACTATGGCAGGCCGTTCATGCCACTTTTGCTCTCACCATTTACTGGCATTGGTCTCAAGGGACATACAAATCATGGTCACAAATCTACCGAATTTAATTTTTGTTGATTATTCATTATCGAAGGAAAAAATATTATCTACAGATCATAATGGCGAAAACAACCAGTGGCAGTACCACTTAGGTCCAACTTAAAGTCGATCTTAGTCTTTGTGAAACACACCCCAAGACCCTGTCTTACGAAGAGTTGATATCTATCGAGACTGCAAACTTGCGATTGATTTGGATTAATTGCAATTCTTTGTAAGACAGGGCCAAGGTGTACAAGAAACCTAGAGTTGAATTGAAGTCAGAGTCAAAGTCAAAGTGGAGGAGGGAAAGCCTTGGGATTGAACGGCAATCCTCAGCGGAAGAACATATCATTGTCAATGATGCTTGCTCCAACTGATTAGATGCGATAAGGCGCTGCGAAGGACTTCCCAAGGACCCCACCAAACCATCACTCCAAGCGAGCGATAAGAAAAACATCTTGGTCATCACCGTCTTCAAACATCATCTCTTCACAATGCAGTCACGGAGAAGGGACATCACTTTGCGAAGCAACCCTCCCCCTGATGAATCATCCAGGAGGAGGGCTTCACAAAGCCTTTTTTCAATGACAAATGGCAAAAATCAGTAACAACTCTGCTGATAACCAATCAGAAGCAAGGATTTCAGTAGCTTTTAAACAAAAACTATCATTTATCACTGATGACGAGTTTGGTGAAATGCCCCCCAGGACACATCCACCACAATTGAAGTTTTCCATTATCGTGCTTCTCCCGTTTCATCCATTTTCAAACGCGAACCCTCAACTCAGAACTAACCGGGTCGGACATCATCTCATGTTTTGGCTCGCACCCAGAGGAGTCATGATGCACTGTTGTCATGGAAACGCATCAACAGTGGCAAAAGTGAAGGCATTAGCTGCTCTCATCACTCATCCCTCATTCATGGAGAGAAATGAATGAGAGAGTTATTCTGGAATTTATGTCTACATGTTGAGGGATGACTTAATCACTATGTGGGATAGATAGAGGGTCATGATTTGTTGTTGTTGTATGATTACTAAAGATCATAGAAGTCAGGTGCTTTCAAAATTTGTAGAGATTTCTCTGTGTACAAGGCTATTTATTCATTTTTTACAGGTGTTTTCATAGATAAAAATCTGCTTGTCTATATCCCATGTTTGTATTTTTGTTTGACATTAATAACATGTACTATAAGATACAATTTTGTTACTAATCTCACAATTCATATATGGGTATGAAACTTACTAAGATCATATATTGGAAAAATGGTAGAATTTCACATATGAACTATTGATAATTTTCAAGAGAATTAGCATTGATAGATAAATTTGGTTGAGCCTTATAGTGGTTTTGAGAAGAAATTTTTTTTTTTTTTTTTTTTAAACCCAACAAGTCATTTATTTATACATGTAATCAAGTTTCGCTATATGATGTTTCTACATTACATAATACCTTGTTCACATGTGTGTGCCCCTTAATTCTTTATACAATGTTTCTTTATACAAGGTTTCTTTATACAAGTTTCGTATAAATTTACTCTTGCCTGAACTGACTAATAACATCCTTCAAACACATTCAAGGGAAGTAAGGCCTGTAGATGAAAAAGTCACACTACATTGCGGACGATTACACAATAGATGATGAGATACATGCTTATTATTCCTTTTGGTATGGTATCTTTAAGAAACAAAAGGAAATTAATCAAACTATTATTCTGTCACTCACTCAGTGGGGGATTACATTAAACCTTGGTGGTCTAGACTATATAAGGAAGGTTCTGAAAATTCTTCTTTTTTTTGTAAACCACTATTTAGTCATCTGCTGAAAACATGTATTTTACCATCTTTGTGTAATATATTTGATGGAAAATTGACAGTAAAGGATATTAACACTTTCCTTGTCGTAGGTGGTTTAAACCGCCCAAATTTCGAGAATTAATTTGATATTTTGGAACAAAGGAAAGCTCGTTGTTCATCTTTAAGTTCAAAATTTGTTTTTGAATCATGAAGTTCATAGACAAGGATTCTCTAAAAACTTGTGATCAAAGCCTAGTCCTACAAAAAAAAAAATTATTTAACTTGGCACAGTTGAATTATTTTAAGAGATTTGAAGTATTCATAGCCTTTTATCAAGTTTAACTACCCACTACTCTGTTATGCTTTCTTTTTCTCTTGTTTTCCTTTTCATATTTTTTTTTGATCGTCTAACTGCCTCATTCTTAATATACATGTATATATATTAATTTAAACAAAAAATCTGATTCTCAAAAGTGTGAAATATGTTTTTACTTTAAGATTAATGATGTTTTCACAAGATTGTTATTGAAAAATTTGAAAATGTAGCGTAACCACTGTCTGAATACCGTTTACTGATCCCTTATTTTCACCTTGTTTGAAACAGTGATCTCATATTCTCATCACCTTGCCGATTAATTTGTTCATAACTGAGGAATCTCCTTAAAACAGGAAGAATTAAGCGAGATAAGTGACAACAAGCTTTGTCCTTAGCAACCAGATCTAGCATTGGGACTAGATTAGGGCGGGCAAATAGTCTGTTCAAAGCCAGAAGGGCGTTTCATTGAGGTATATGAGTAAATGCCTGATAATTGAGGAATATTGTTAAAACAGGAAGAATTAGGTAAGATAAGTGACAGCGAGCATTGTCCTAGGAGGATTTACCTAGCATTGGGACTAGATTAGGGCACATCATCTTTTGGTGTTAACTCTTTAGTGATGTACAGTACAGTACACGCCGAAAATCTCCGCAACACGATTTACACGATTAAAAATTTACACGATTCGACTGCTCGCGGGAATCGTGTAACCATTTATTTTTACACGATTCGTTTTTTGCCAATGAAGCGAAATTTGAATGGTGTAAACGTGTAATCGTGTAAAATTACACGATTCCTCAATTCAGGTCGAATCGTGTAATCGTGTAATCTGCCCGCCGAAAATCTCCGCAACACGATTACACGATTCAAAATTTACACGATTCGATTGCTCGCTGGAATTGTGTTACAATTTATTTTCAGTGGTGATGGTGAGCAGGTTAAGGACGTCTAGTTCAGTAAAAGCAAGAAGTTACTTCTTGGTTGAACGAGGACAACGTGGACGATACGAGGGGATAGCGAAGATTACGCTTTCTTTCTCTTGTATATATTTTTAATTGCAGTGTCTTGTCTCTAGTTTTATTATAGAATGTTTGAAAGTTAAAAAAATCAGTCCACTTCCCGAAAAGCACTCTCGGATTTAATCCTCGGTGAGAAATAAGAAAAAAAGCGATGAACGACGAAGGAAGGGGGCAATTTTGTTATTCCTAAGTTGTAAATAAGTAAAAATGATAACAAAATGTAAAGGAGGGCTAACATAATTAAGTATGTTGTGATACTCTTACATTACAAGGCTGTACCAATAAGAATTACGGTTCACCAGCCCATTCGTTACTATGAATAGCGTTATACTTTTTTTTATTCAATCATTATCCATTTTACAAACCTGGTTTGTAAAAACGCGTCATATGACGCACGAAAACCAAGGTTTGTCGACAAACCTCCTTTGTGAATTCGGGCCTTAGACTTTGATCACTTATTGCTTTTTTAGCGTTCCTCATTTTCGTAAATTACCTTTTACAACATTGCATTATTCAGCTATATGTATATTAGAGCTACGGTCAAGGCTTAAGGGCACACTTCCTGTCACATACAAAAGAAGCTTACTCTGAATGTGGCCTGCCATTGACCCTCGCCGGGGACAAAGGCCGTTGCCCTAGCTACAGGCAGAGATCCTTACATAATACCTATTGTTCAGGGGGTTCCCCTTGAACATAGGATCCCCCTGAACAATAGGTATTACATGTATGTAAGTATGTAAGCCACTGGCTACAGAGTGTAGGGAACAGTTGCAAGCCGAGAATGAATAGAATAAGTGAATGGCCAACTGTCTTTGAGTTACGTTTAGCTAGCGGCATAGTGTCCCCCCACTTTTCAAGTTCCCCCAAAGTGCCCCTTTGTATTTAGGAAAAGTACCTATTTTACTTTGACAAGTGTCCCTATTAATTTGTAAAAGTGCCCCTTCCCCTTTTCAACTCTGATAAGTGCTCCTTTTCTTTTGACACACACCCCTTTTCCTTCGACGAGTTCCTATTTTCCTTTACAATAAGTGTCCATTTTCCATTCTCATTAGTGTCCTTTTAATCTCTAGTAAGTATCCCTCTTTAACTACGAGAAGTGCCCCTCTTCACTTTTGATAAATGCCCCCATCAACTCCGATAAATGCCCCTATTAAAATCTGATCGGTGCCCCTTTTCTTTCAACTAAAGCTTTTTTATCTCTCTCTCTCTCTCTCTCTCTCTCTCTCACTCTCTCTCTTTCTTTCAATATCTTTCCATTCCCCCATATCTTTCTAGCCTCTCTTTCCTTCATTATGTTCCCCTCTTACCTTATTAATTTGTCTCTTTTCCTCTCCGTTTCATAGCCTTCTCATTTCTGTTAATTTTACTAGGTTTCGCCCTTTTTTTATCACTCTATTTCACTCGTTCTTTTCTTCCGGTCAACTTTTTATTTTTCCCTAATTTTTTCTCTCTTTTTTTCTGTTTATCTTTATCGTGCCTTTCAACCCTCATTTTCCTTTTATATGTTCCCTTCTCCTCGTAGCTATCTTTTTTCCTTTACTATTTCATTTATCATGTCTTCCTGTTTCTGACGTTTTCCTACCTTGTCTCACGGATTAGTATACGATACATGTTAGTGGAAAGTGCTGAGGTTTATACACGAATATAAAGTACAGTAATTAACTGATGTACACTAAAGGTAAGTTGTGTATAAAGCAATTGGTGTAAGCAGTATAAGATTTAACGATTGTTGCAGCTTGTCGCATCGTTCTACCAATGCCCTTATAACCCTAATAACTATTTACACGATTACACGATTCAGAGCAACATTCTTCAATCGTGTAAATTTACACGATTACACAGTTACACGATTGTTACATCTGGTCGAATCATCCGACCAATGCACTTAACTATTTACACGATTACACGATTCAGAGCGACATTCTTCAATCGTGTAAATTTACACGATTACACAGTTACACGATTCAGGTGAATCGTGTAAACCGTGTAATCCTAAAAATAAATCGTGTAATCGTGTTGCGGAGATTTTCGGCGTGTACTGTATATGAGTAAATGACCGTCTGGATCCAAACAAATGAATTTGAGGATGGATTAAATCACAGATTAAGAAATGAGAAACAGTGACAGGGCCATGTCTGGAGACCTTTCTTTTCCTGAGGGATGTAGAGATTTCCTTTTGGTTTTGATCGTGCATTTAGATGAGGGTTAATGTTACTGCCAGTTCCCAATAGCTTTTTTGAAGATATTTGGTAGATTACATTTCACTTCTTTGATACCTAAGGCAAAAATTCATTTTGTCTATAGGTAGAAATATGTGGAGATTAATTATATTATTGTGCTTAATATATATATATATTGCAATTGTATCATTCACAACTTTTATCATCATGGTAAAAAAGAAATGAGGGACCTTATTACTCTAAGTTAAATGCTACCGGTAATCATTTAATCAAAATTATATGCTATGCATGCCTCTGCCTTTCATTAATTCTTCCAGAACCCCCCCCCCCCCCCTCCTCCACCCCACCATGTTCACCCCTTCAGCATGCCATATTTAGAACATGATGAAGAGGAACCTAAGCAACCCTGTTGAGGTTTTCATAGGAATCCTTGTAGTACCCAAGTGACAAATTAAGTTTTCAACAATGCAACCATTGATCAATTAAAAAAAAGGAAATTAGAAATGAGACCAAAGAGCGATCTCCTTGATAAGTTCATTTTTGTATCTGAAAGCGATCAAAAAGCAATCTTCATGATAAATTCATTTCATATCCGAATCGTTGTGACACCTTCGATGTTGATAGGGGGTAAGGATATTGGATAATTTTGACGGCGTTTGATTGTTGGGATCATGTAGCGGTTGTACGTGTGGGGGAGTCGGATATGATACTTGGTTCCGCGTTGTGAGTTTCACCACTGGGAGAACGCCTGTGCTCCTTGAAATCTATTTACGTCATGTTTCGTTTGCACCTCAAGCGGAAAATGATCGCCTCATGAATGAGGTACTTACATTAATGATGGAGATTTGTTGTCAATCAGACGAGGATCGTATATGGTATTGAACTTTGTAGTCTCTTTCACATCATTTATCATTTCCATAAACTTCTAGGCCCTCCTAGATTTTGTACTCGCCCTTCCCTTTTGAAGATTATTTTTGGTCTCTTTTTAATTTTCCATAAACATCAGCATTGTTTCTTTTCTCCCCCCCCCCCCCCCTCTATCTCTCTCTAATTTTGCTTTTTTTCTGTCAGTCTCTCTCTCTCTCTCTCTCTCTCTCTCTCTCTCTCTCTTTTTCTTTTTCTCTTTATCTCTTTTACTGATTTAAATCCACATTCATTCATTCCTGATGAATAATATCCTTCAAAATAACACAGGAATATACATTAATTCTACAATGTTCCCCAAGGGCACTTCCTAGTCAACATTATTACATCCAATGTATGATCTCTTTTTATGCCTCTAAACTATGCTTATTATCAGGGCATAATGCAAGATATTTATATTGGGATTGCAGAGAATGATATTTGAAATCATGAATTAACCCTCACTATCTTCTCTCTCTCTCTCTCTCTCTCTTATTTCTAAACCTACAGAAAAGTGAACAAGTCATTCCGTGGTCGAGCATGCCCTATCGTTGTCCACTGCAGGTAAGTTTTAACCCATCGTCTACCAAAACTGGTTGGTTCCTGTATTAAAGCCTATGGGTAGCAGAGAATTCAGTAGTCGATGGGTTAGGAAGAGATTTGTTTTAGAACTAGAAAATATGGAGTTAGATGGGGCAGGGGCTCATTGAAAATGTAACATGACTTGTCATTGCAGAGTCATTGGAGGCTTGATGGCTCAGGGATACTAGAGGGGTGGTGTAGTAATGGGGAGGTCCCAGGTTTGTAACTATTCTATTCACTATAGTGCCTGTCGGTAAGGCATTAATCCTTATGACCAACTCCCTCGGATACGACTTGAAGCCATTGGTTCCCTGGTTGCTTACTTATAAGCATACGCATGCTAAAGCAGTCAGGTAAAACAAACAAACAAAGTTTGTCCAGATGAAAGTAGAGATGAGACAAGGATAAATAAAGATAGATATAAATGAGTTTATGAAATTAAAAGAGGAATTGAAAAATATAGGAGGGGTGGAGAGATACAGAGTTAGAGGATCTGGAAGGGGGTAGAGACATGAAGATAGAAGTAGATATATTTATCAACAGCTAATTTGACAGACTGAAAAAAGGGACATGTAGAGAAATGCATGTAATACTAAGATGGAGCGGTCAGAATCTGTCTGGGCATATAACCCAATTATAACCTGCCCAGGAACAATTTGTCAAGTATTCTTATTTAATAATAATCATATTATAAACGTCTGGGCCAGAGACTTATTGAATATTAACCCAATTACTTAATATGAAGCTTTTGAAAAGTATGGTAATCTTGGACTGATTCGCTAATTGCTAGACAGACTTGGAGTTATCTCTAGGGCATGGATGACTAGTAGACCTCTATTGGTGAAGCTTTGTCAATGGATTCTATTTTCATCTTTGTTTTTTTTTAATCAATAAGCTAATTTTCTAAAGTAAAGATGGGTCTGGAGGCCAGCTGAAGATTTTCTATGCAATGCCATAGTGGGAAAGAATTGGGTACTATATATAGAGAATAAAATTTCATCTGAATCTGAATTTGAATATCGAATATTGCCACTTTGACTTAAATAAAGTGATTTTATTTCTTTAGAATATAAAAGTGTTTTTATTTCAACAAAAATATTCATGAAAAACAAAATTTAATTTTATTATAAATGTCTTCATTCACCCATGGCTTCAACCACTGTATCTTATAATTCAATTTTATGTCTCATGGTTGGGATAAGAAAGCTAGCTTGTTCCTTTGTATATCTGAAACGTGAAGTTAGATAGAGTGGAAGAATGTTTGTATCATGCAGGATGAAGTCTGAAATAAGGGCTCCATAAATGATTAGAAACTTTCAATCACAAAGTTTCATTTGAAACAAACCTCTTTAAAGTTGATGGCACTATTAGTTTTAAATATAAACGAAATATATCTAGCTGTATTTGAGATCAATCTATTCACAATAAAGAGATCTAGAGGGAGAAAAAGTGCAATTGGGAGGGATGACGTCTAGTTTGAGTGAAGACATTTTGTAAAAGATGGGTGGTTCTAGTTTTAAGGTCATGCTGTAAAGACCTCCTTACATCACTCTCAACTATCGACCTCTCTGGCGGCAAAATTATGAGCAACATCTGAAATAGGTCAGGTATTTACTCTTATGGGCAAACAGTTTTTCTTCATGCCTTACTTAGAATAAAGAGGCTTGTGTAACAGGATGACAGATAAGATGGAAGTTCTGTCGAGCAAAAAGAAAAGGGGAACCCTCGGCGGGCTCGGTGACCTGTTCCGCCCTTACCAGTGGCGGAGAGCTAATTGACAAGATCCTGCGCAGATCATGGAATTCACACCAACACCTCGTATTCATTCCATTTCCCTCAGCCTGTGTCCTACTTTCTCATTTTGCGAACAAGAGGCGGTATCTATGCATTTATTTATGGAAGATTCTCTAATTTGAAATATTGTCCTGTATCTGTATCTAGAAGAATTCTAACCACACAACCTATTTTGCTAAAGGTGAATAAAAGGCACCATTTTTAAGGCAATTTTTTAGCTGGAATGAAAGACAACCTTTTGTTTTAAATTTGTGAAGACATGAATTATCAATGTTTATGTTTGTGAGGCATCTAGAGTCTTCTTTTCATTGATATGGCAGAAAAGGTTTAAATTTGCTACAATGTTCAGAACCATAAAACTAGTCTCTGTTGTTACAGATGCTTAGCAACAAGTTAGCATTCAAAGACTTTAAAATTTACCTTTAAAAGACAACCAGAAACCATGATTCACACCTTGGTGAACATAGCGGAAGTTTTTCAATGCCCTGGGTCCCTATGGTAGGAAAGAAAAGAATCGCAAAACAATTGTGAAATTTTCAATATCCTGTCCGGCTCGTCAAGAAACTGTCGGCCATGCTCATCATTCCAGCAAGGGAATACACATCTCTCTCCCATTTCATTCAAATTTAGATATGGTTACATTCTGAGGTGTTCTAGCATACTTTCTTTAAACTTCTCCTTCTGAATTTTGTCAAGTCATTTGCAAATGGTTTGGGAGGTGAACATTAATTGATGAAGACTTGAAGACAGTTGCATTTGTTTTCTGAGGTATAAATGAGGGAGAAAAGGTTAATTACACTAAACTGGAGGTTTAAATTTTTCTTTAAACACTCTTCTCAAGTCCACATTTTGTTTGAATTTTTCTTTTATATTTTTTAAAGGTCCCCCCCCCCTCCCCCTTCTATACTGGTATTTATGTTATACACAGTTTACCATTCTACATCTGCCGTTATGCTGAAAACTCCCTTCAACTATACATTCTTAAAGAAAGATGTCAAGCCTTGCATTTCCATTGAATAGCTCCCTCTACCTTTTGAGATTTACAACAATGACTTTCTGTTACACACTGTCCACAGAGCATGACTAAGTCTCACAGGTACAGTGATCTCAAGATCTCATCTTTAAGATGTGTTCTCATCTCAACACTATATGCTCTGACATAATATGCTCTTTACTAAATTTTGTCAAAGCTGTAGTGTTAGGATTACATGTAGGGTTGAACCAGGGAGATTTCCCTTGTGTACAGGTTGCAGTGGGGTTTTTGTGCCATATTTTCTTTTTGAGACTGATAAAATCAGATACACACCAAAACCTTTAGTACAAAATAGGGTAATCGTTGAACAAAAATAGATTTTAGATACAGTAGCAAATATTCATTCCTTGTTTGTTAAATAATTTTAAAGCTTTCGATAGTGTTTTTATAGACTGACTGAATTGAATTTTCAGCACACATGGTGATTTAAGGAGAATTAGAAAAGCTTTCCCCTTTTTTTTTAAAGATTTCGGCAAAGTCATCACATTTTTAATTTTTAACTTATTTTCCTTTCTTTTGTTAAAATTTTAATCTTTTCCAAAACTACGAGTTTCCGGGCTCCTCACGTATGTAGCACATCACGTATGTTTTCCTTCATGCTCGTAGTAAATCAAATTACTATAATCCCTGCCACTCACAATTTTACTCATCCAGAGACAGCAAACATACTTCCCAAAATGAAAATAATAGCCCCTAGCTAATGTCAAAATTCTATGTTCTATCAGCAATTCATTATTATGATAATTGCACTAATTATTGGTTAATCACCTTCCTTGTTCGACATTTACCCCTAAAGAAAAATTGAATTATCAAATAAACAATGGAACTTTCTAATTAACGGTAGCGTGTATTGAATTAAGATCCAACCATGGATCCGTCGTTGGGAATATATCGTGCGCACAGGTGGGACACATTTGTTAATGTTATTGTTTGAGGTGTAAAGTGCTAGACAAGGGGGATTTATCGGATTGGCAGCAATTGGAATTTAATTGGATGCTAAATCTTGTCTTCTCTTTATATGCCACTCATCGTGTTATCCGTAAGTGAGATAGCAAGTTCATTTATCATCTGTTGAATACATTTCCCCATATCAAGCCTTTACATTCTAAATCTACATATATGTCTAATTCATATTTAATTGACTCTACGAGTTGAAAATTGTTTCAATTTTTATGTATGTATGATATGTGTCAACACTGCTTTTGAAAATTGCTTATATTCTGAATATACGATACAGGTCTTTAAAAAAAAAAAAGTTCCAGATATTCTAATAAACAAACATTGCAAAATGAAGGGTATTGAACTATACATACTTGTCTTTGAATATCTACATGGGAGAAGGCAGGAAAAGGGGCAGGTATATAGAGGGGGAGGGGGCGAGAAAGGATGGTACATGAAGATAGATGAAGGGGGAAAGGGGGTGGGAAAGGGAGGTCGGGATTTGATCACGTACTTTTCCTGTTGTTATGTTGCTCACATTAATAAATTGATTTTATTCTAAAAGAAGGTAATGACAGAACGCAGAGCACGCACCCGCCCGCTGGCACTGTGGAAGAAAACTCCTGTGTGACTTGCAGAATCACAAAGCCGCTAATCCAATTGCCATACCACTAGATGGAAGAATTAATTAATTTCTTTAATTGAGTGCTCTGAGGCTCAACGCATTTAAACATAGGCGACAGGAAACCAAAGGATATTGCATAATGCGCTCTAAATATCCTGTTAGGTGGGGATAATACGACCCATTGTTGCCCGGGAGCTAATTGAGAAGTCATGTTCGGGCTGGTCTTGATTAAAGAGTTCCCCTTTTGGGTCTAGAGGGGCGCACTATACCCCCCCCCCCCCCCACCCCCCTCTCCCCCTTAATGTAATCTTGCAATAGGAGCTGTCGTGTTGGGGGGTATATGACAGGGTGGATTAGGAATGTTTTGCAAACATTTTGTAATTGACGGGGGAAAATAATAGCAGCGGTTAATTGAGAACAGAGGATTTTAATAATGGGTAAATTGAATTAGAATAACTGCAAAAAAATGACAGCGCTTTTGAACATGTTTCACCGTAGGATAGACAGGAGGCCTTTATGCTGTAGGGGTTTTGATCACCGGAATGTTGCCATTTTAGGCAATGATATTACTCTATTAGTTCTTTTTCAATTTGTTGTTGATGAATGAATGTTTTAAGGTCATTATGTGTAGCCAATTATATCTGATCTATGCTTGAATTTTCTCTATGAAAAAAAGAGTCATGTGGTCCAACAAGACACAGACCAGATAGCATGAAACGGCATGTTGCTTTGTCAGGCACAAGTGCACAACTAAAGAATATCCAAATATCTGAAAGCCACTGTTACCAAGTTGTCCAAATTCTTTCTCTCCTTGTCTTCCCTTCTCTTTCCAATTTATCCTGGTTGTAACCAACAAAACCAGTCACAACATTCATTCCATCAAAGATATAGGGTTAAAACTCGGTTGCTGTAATTGCGATTGGGGTTATGTTAGGTTTTAAGGTTAGATTTCGAGTTATGGTAGGGTTAGGTACGGAGTGAATTTCAGTGTTGAAGTTAGAAACTTTGTTAGTGTTGAAACTTTACTGTGGAGCAATTGTTGCTTGAACATTGCTCTCTGGCAACTAGCTTCAACTCTCCCCTCCTCCTCCTCAAAAGTTGCGGAGAGTTCAATGTTCTCTTGTCGTGTAGCATGAGGGGCGCGATCGTTCACCCTAAGGGGGGTAGACCTTCACCCTCTGAGTTCAGAGCATAGGTTTGTTGTCTTTTGGAATCTTCAGAAGAAGTGTAATTGACTGCTCCAAGAGGAGCATGAACTGGAAGAAAGGGATGAGGACAGATGACGGTGAAGATCTAGTCTTGTCATGTCAACCTTGTGGTGTTTAAAGAAATTAAGTTTGTTAGCGTTATCCTGGCTGTTATGATCAGGGCCCCGTCTTACAAAGAGTTGATATTAATCGCATACAGTGTTCTAAAGCAACCAAGAAGCAATTTTGAATCATAGTATTGATTCAAAAGTAATAAGCAATAGTGTTAAAGAAGATTTCAGAAGAGTCCCAAGATTGAATTTTGTATATATTTTTTTTATTAGGGCGGTTTTTCAAGCATGCTTTTAGTTTCCCACAGCATTGTTGATTTCACTATAATCGTTGACAATTCATGATGAATTCGGAGTCTAGATACCAAGACTACTCCCTCCGAGGCACAGATAGAGCGGCTATGTAGAGCCATCTATTAGAGGCTTAATTGAGCGCTTCAGCCCTAGGGGTGGTGGGAAAGGAGTATGTCTGTGTCTGTCGCTATGTTCGGCAGCCCGTGTCGAGCTCAGGTGTGTCACCAATTTGAGGCAGTGTCGGTCCCCGGTCTCGGAGGTTACAGAACCCTCTCCTTTTCTTTGTCTCGCGGGTCTGTTCGCACTCTGATGTGGAATATTGTCGGTATGAGTGTTTTCATTTTTGGTTTCTGCTGATCCATTATTATGGTGTTGATCACAAGTAGAGAAAGTGACACTCCTTTTCTAGTAGTTGTGTTCATACATGTTCATACAACCTAGCTGTCCCTCTTCTTCTTCTTTTTCATTGTTTTTCTTCTTCTTTCTTTCTTTCTTGTTCTTGTTCTTCTTCATCTTCTCTCTCTTTCTCTCTCTCCCTGTCTCTGTATGTCTGTCTGTCTGTCTCTCTCTCTTTCTCTCTCTTCTCTCTCATTCTCTAGCTCTCTCACTTAATGGGACAGAAACAGGAAAACTGCCACAACTAGGCTTTTACTATGGAGAGTACTTGAAACATAACAATGCTCTTCTTTCTGATTTATAGAATAGTATGTTGTAGCCTGACTCTCTTATAGATGTAGGAAATCAGTGTATTTGCCATCTGCTTTGAATCCCGGTATTACTCCCATCTTTTTTCCTAGGCTACAAATAGAACTAACATTTGTTGATTTCCTTTGATACGCCTCTATCAATCTTTATGTTGGAAAGAAGTCCGTCCATGCAGTCAGTGCCAAAAATAATTCTTCCTTCATTCTGGTCTTGAGGGAAGGTCATGTGACCAAACCACCTGGGCGCTGCAGGATAGGAGAAGTCGATCAGGGTGTGGGGTTGCCATGACAGCCAGACCGCATCTTGAAATGGATGGATGTCCTGCTGTTTAGGAAGTTCTTTGTTCTGTTTATAAATGGAGACATGCCTCAAGTAAAAGACCACTGAAGTCTTTGGAGCATTCATGCTTTTTCTTTCTTTTTTCTTTTTTTGGAAAATGTGCTTGTTCATCGGATTTGGACCTGAATCAGTTGATTTTGATGGTTTAAATAATGACTAAATAATCCTCTTTATGAAGAGATTTTCATATGGAAACACCTTGTTTGAATGCACTGATATACTAGAAAATGATATGAGAGTTTTTCATAATCATTAACACGATTATTATTTACCCATATAGTTTTCTTGTTATCAGATATATTTCAATATACTTCAATTCAGTTTAAAAGCTGAATTTGTCTATTTGTATAGTGGTAGATAATTTTTTATTATTAATACGCATGAAAACAGCTAAATCAATCAATGAATCCTTTCTAGTAATTCAAGAAATCATCCTAGGACACTTTTTTTGAGCAACCTTGTACATCAAGTACCAACATATCGTCCCTATTTTCACGAAGTGACGGTAGTGAATGAAAATCGCATTCACTTTGTGTGCGGATTTTCCTCACTTCGTGAAAACAGGAACGATATATAGAAATGTATTAACACAACATTGACATATTACATAATCCAAACATGACTTCCGTTGGCAGTTGATTTCTTGAAAGTCTCTATTATCGTGTTTCATCCATGTTCTTTAGCTAGCTTGCAAGCACAAAGTCCAATGCAGTCTTACAACGTATATGCTATTGAGTGGTATTCCTATGAAGAGTGGGTAGCAGAGTTGTAGCAGTGAGGATATGGCCATTTGCTTTGACATATGTCATCGCCTATCTAATAGAAAAGTGCATCTTTTGATTGTGACTCAAAGGGGCTTTTTTGGTGGAAGTAGGAAAGAGTTCAAGGATAATACAAGGTCATTGACATGAGGATGTTACCCCCAAACTCTCCATCATTTTTCTTCTGACTCTCTCACTGCCCCCTCCTCTCTCTCTGTCTCTCTCTCTCTCTCTCTTTCTCTCTCTTTCTCTCTCTAACCCGGCCTCCCCCTCTCTTCTTGCTCTTCCCATTATGATCCTTGAATCTTTCGTATGGAAATATTTTTGTTTCATTGTAATTTTTTGTCTTGTTTTCATGCCTCTCTCTAATTTTCACAATATACAATCAAACCTGGTTTAATGACCTACTTTCTACAAAGACCACATTTTTTTGTTTCCCTTGAAAATGGTTTCTCATTGAAACATGTACTATTAAGGAACCTGTACATAGAGACCACCTGTCTGTAAAGACCACTATTCTAGTCTCCCTTGGGTGGTCTTTATAGATGGGTTTCACTGTATTGCTCTGTACATTAAAGATAGATGGACGGTGCTAATGAATCTTTTGCATTTCTTTTTCTCTTTTTCTCCTTTCCGCAGTGACGGTGTTGGGCGCACTGGCACGTACTGTCTGCTGGACTTGGTGCTGACCCGGATGCTCAAAGGGGTCAAGGAGCTGGACATTGCAGCCACTCTAGAGCACATCAGAGATCAACGTCCAGGCATGGTCCAAACCCAGGTAAGAATGCCGGTCCCTCGGATAGGATGCAATGTCGTAGGTCCCCTGGTTACTTGTCATAGCCAAAGTATGGCAGTCCAATAGGGCTCAAGGCATAGGGTCGTCTGGTTACTTGAGTTAGCTTACTGAAGTCCATTAGCATGTGGAAACTGCATTGAGAATGGATGAAGGTTGTTTATTTCATATCGCTTTACTTCAGATATTAATCAATGTTTAGAATCATTCAAACTAGATCTACATGAATATACTCATGGTCAGTCAGATTAGTCATACACTCTTTTTCAAATCATGAAGAATTAACCAAACGATGTTGCGGACATGGCTTTTTCAAAACGACCTTGCCAATGTACACATGGGTAATCATTATTGATCAAAATTTTCAACAGAGCACAAATTTTTTAGTTAGGATTTCCCAACCACAGCAGGAAAGGGAGTATTATCAAAACATAAACTAGCGCTTTACAACATCGACCTAGATCTGATAACCTACATATTAAAGGTGAGAGAATACTACAACATAGAATGACCCTCAGGTTTAGAGCAACATTCAACAAAACTCCTAGTTAATGATTGATCGTAGAGATAACGATAGTTTCATACCTAAAAGATTTTATCATGTGTAAATGTAGCCACAGTGTCTACTCCCTTCCATGATAAAAAAAGGACCAACAAAATGAATGTCAACCTTCACTCTCGATTTTGTCGCCTCCTCTGTCGGCTCTGTCGGCAAAGAAAAAGTCTGAATATTTCTGATGTTTCTGGTTTTGATACTGAAATAAATTTTAACCAAATCCAATAAATTAATCACTACATATCATCCGTTGATTCATAATAGTTTAACACAACTAACTCTGTGTTAACTCTATGAATCAGCACTCTTCTAGCTTCCAAAGGATAACTGTATGAATAAATAGCATCTTTCCAATACATGTCATTCTAGAAGAAAATGTATAATCGCTGAGTAATATGCGCTATAAGGGAGTTTACAGATAGCACATAGTACAATTAAATGACCCCAAATATCCACAGACCTTTTACACATGGAGAAGTTCCACTTTGAGCATCTTAGAATAATAACTGCCAAAGTCCAAGATGTGCTTCATGAATACCTTTCGTTTGCCCTCTTGAAAAGAATACTCCCACCTGCGTATCTTAGAATGTACCGTTGGTGCATAAATGAATAATGTTACATAAATTTCATGAGCGCATATCCAGTATTCATCTCTGTGGGTTTTACCTTTTTGGTACAAATGACCTTTATCTGCTCATGCTCAGAATGCAACCGTTGAGACTTTGTCCTTTGCCTGTAAGATTATTATTAAAAAAACAGAAACAGAATTGTGAGGAAGTACAAAGTGATGGATAGTCATAATGAATTGACAGTCAGGAATGATCTATAGTCATTCTCTTCACCTAGATTTTGAGTTGCAAGGTTGAAGGTTGGGCAGTGGTCATTTATCACTTTCCTTCCTTAACAATCTCACCAAAAATCTACCCATCTGCCTTGAATCATCCCCATTTGAAATCTGCGAAAGAGAGGAAATTATGAGATGCATGTTACGTGACGCCCTTTTCCTCATCCTCTCTCCCGCTCTGGTTCCGATATCAGACAGGGATCTGATGAATCGAATTGAGAACATCTTTTATAGGTCCTTGATTACCGCGCCTGATAATATTCTAGATCGAATCCGCTGGAAACGCAGATCAAATTAAAATGAAATTGTATCTGATGGGTAAATGATGCATCATTCATACTGGCCGTGAAACTTGATCTATATTGTAAAGAGAAGTCTTTTTAAATTTGTCATGGGAAGTTGGACTAAAGTCTAAGTTTTTTCCTTTGTTAAACATGGCGTAGGGTTTTAATAGAATTAGACAAATGTAGGCCGAACTGTATCTCATGTACACTTTAGAATATTAAGATGAACACTGCAGTCTTTTAAGGAAAATACTTAGGTTGATATTCTTTGACATTATGAGACGTTTTTTCAACATAATCAACCATGAAAGCTAGTTGCTCACAACTTCCTGTCTCAGAATCAGTATTGTTCCCAAAAGATTGATTGAAATCCCAAAATCCCACAATAGAACGTTTTAAGGAGAAGGGGGAAAAAAAAAGAACACTAGTCATATTTAGTTCTACGTTTCCTGTCGATTTCATTGACAGCATCTTGACACATTTCCATCTGATTTACTTTGAAGTTCCCATTGGATAAGATAAGAATCATCTTGAACGAGATGTGCGATATATTTCACCTTCTTTCAAATTTGGTTTATCTTGGCAAGTTCCTTCAACTCTCACCTACGTGCGTAATCATGGAGCAAGTCATTTTCGTCATTTGGAGAGTTTTGAAATACAGTGATATTCATAATGTATCGGTCTGGAAAACTTTAAACAATGATCCAAAGGGTTTTCTTTCCAACAATCAATTTAAAGCAAATCTTCTTAAAATCTATTATCAAAATAATGGAGTTGAAATGCTTGTCTGTATTTTATTAGAATTCGATACATGTATGTATGACTGATTTCAATTAATTTCATGAATATAAATCATGATACTTCTCTTTTTGATTGATAAATCACAGTCATTTTTTGTAATAGATATGAATTTATTTGTGGTGTAACTAGATTGTTATATACTAAATTATGATCTCTCTCTTTCTCTCTCTCTCTCTCTCTCTCTCTCTCTTTCTTTCTCTTACCCTCTCTCCAGGCCCAGTTTGAGTTTGCTCTCACTGCCGTAGTGGAAGAGGTCAACGCAATCCTGAAGGCTTTACCTCAATGACCTCCGACCTCTGCACCCGAGGTCAACCGTCCCTCCACCGGAAACACAGGCTAAGTCTTCATCAGGTTCTTGAACCTCCAACTCACTGACCAGTGTGCAAGGTGCATAAACCACTGAACCTTGCCTGGGTCGAAGCAACTAGCGCACATTGTCACAAATAACAGACTATTGTATTCATCTAATGTGTTAATTCATGTCTTTAAAAAACAAAGTTACAAATAAGATAATAGTTGTTATTTTGATAGAGAGGATTGAATAATAATTGCGGGAGAAATTGGAACTCTAATAAGCAGTTTCTACATGTTCTGGGCATCTGGGTTTACTTGGTAAAGTGGGCCTAATCTAACCCGCGCATTACCTTTCTTTGTGCAATTTGTGTTGTTTGTGAATAGTTGTGAGAAGATAAATATTGTATAAAAAATATAAAAATGAATACAGAGATACTTATTTAAAATTTGAAGATGGACAAAAAAAACTATCATTGTAATTGTGTTTCAAGAGTAATGCAGTATGCATTGTGTTAAAGCTGAGAGTATAGTTTTAACAGCTTGATTTTATTGTGTTGACGATAGGCCTAAAAATAATGTCTTGTTTAGAATTTGGCTTAAACTTTTTTTGTAAAATGCCCACAAATGTCAAACTCCTTTTATTAAGAAGTCATATTTTAATAAAATAGTTACACATTCTAAGCGCTCAATCCACGTCTTGACGTTACTCGTATTCACATGCTCTGGATCTTGGCACCAGTGTGCTTCGAAAGTAGATTTTGACGATCCTTATGCAAGGATGCAAATAGCTCCAGATATTGCTGAACTAAACCAAACCACAGCAAAAAGTACCGGTATTGCACTGCATTTATGTCCACACCCTTATAGAGAATACAAATTTTATTTTGTGATATCTATGTTATTTCCTTCTTGGCATCCAAGCTGTGTTTTTGTCCATGGAGTGTGCTATGTATTGTACATCAAAGGTTTTTTGGTTTAATATTTTTCAAAAGACTGGGGTGGGGGGACCGTATTTGAAGTTTGGGCGATGTTTAAAGGGGGTGGAAACCATCAGTTATCATTGATTACTAATCATCAAGCATGGATCCACTAAGTTGTCTATCCACAGTGCTAATAATATGTTATGCAATGTGGCAGTTGGAAGGTTTTTTTGTTTAGACTAAAGATTTTTTTGTCGAAAATTGAAATGTCGGATTATGCAATTTCATCCAAATTCATATATATCATCCAGTACATTCGTCATTTTATAAACAATCATTATTATTACTATTCAATCATTCCTCTGTGATTTCAATCAAAGTATTCAACTCTAAAATATTTATTTTCATGACGTTTTCATTCCTTCAGCTTTCTCGTTCATCTATTTATCATTCCATTGTGTGTCTTTCTTTGCTGAGGTGGTGTAACGTATCTTGTTGATGTATTCTCTCTTGTAAAGTAACCCATCTTGTGATTTATATCTTCTTTGTGATTCAGACATCAGACTTGCCAGGGTGAATGAGAAAATCGATATTTATCATGTGATGTCCTTGACTTAAATAAGCAAATAGGATGGATGAAATTGGCCTCAAAGTATTGAATCCTTAAACTTTTAACCACTGGATTTTCTTTCATACTCCTAAGAGAGGCAGTCCATATTTTCCCACCAAGATTTGAAGACAAATCATGTGTTGCCAACTTAGTATCGTTCTTTGCCATCATCCTCTAAATCGGAGAGGTCCGTGCTTTATTTACGAGAGGAACCTCTCCAGATTATATCTAACTATCAATCGGGAGTCGATCCTCTTTTAAGGTGGATGACTCACGGAGGATAATGATGATGAAATAACAAAAGCTATCTATTAATACTCAACATCATGTTTATTGGCATGTGAGAGGGATAGTGAATACTATCTTTCAGGTATTGGCTTACAAACTAAATTTGGTAAAGGATGGTCCCATTCGGTCCCTCGAGATCGGCTTGACATCACTGGTACAATGTACTTGCGTCTGTTTGACGTTTTGTTGTCCGTTCCTTTCTGTATTCTGCTTGTGCAATGTGGTGGATCGTCACCTTCCTGCATTAAGGCTCTAACTGCCATCGGGTTTAAGAACCTTATTGCAGGGCTGCTGATGTTCCCATAACTGTTCCATCGTTTGGGCCGAATATGATTACTTCTTTTATCTAAAAGGTTATTGTACTCTGAACGACACAAATAGATTATCCTTCGGTCCTGTCACGTACAGAACTCACTGGGCACTAATAAGGATCTCATTAATTACAATGGCTCTTATACGATTTTGGGTAATGCTGATTTAACATCATATATTAGAAAGTGGGAGGACAGAGGAGGAAATTAGGAACTTGAGGAAAGACTTCATTTTGATTATTTCAATCCTTTAAGGAACTAGGTAAAGGCATTCATAAAAAGTGAGACTATTATGGCTTACCGTTTTTCTTCTAATGAAGAAGCAGAAGTTAGGGATCAAGACCGATTATCTCATTATAATTTGGCAGGGGCAAATATATTATGATTTACGTCGGTCACGCACAAGAAAGAAGAGTTCGTGCAACTTTTTCCTCCTTTTTCTTTCCCATTCCTAATTAATCTATTCGACTGTCCCATAGCCATGTACTATGTTGTTAATAATTAATTAATTGCCTTGTTTCTTTTGGTAATGAAAACCAGAGATGTCAGAAAAGATATTGTTTCAAATATTTTACTGGTGACAATCATTTAAACATGAACACATTATTGTTTTGCATTAGAGTCTTTATTGAGAACATAATTATAAATATCTTCATACTGAAGATAGGTTGTAATTGTTGATGAGCAATTTCGTAGTTTTATGTTTTGCAAGGTGATAATAATCATCAAGAATATACTATGAGTATTTCACTTCAATAAGTACTATCACAGAATGTGTGTAAAAATATATATTTCAAAAAGAATTATGAGAAAAAGTTATTTGCAAAGACAAAATCTTTAAAAGAAATTAAGATTAAATTCGTATTTATGTCAGAGCTCATATTTTTATCAACATTTCTTTCATTCGTTGAATTTTGTGTCAAAGAAAATGTCGGCACTAAATTGTGAAAACTCTGAATCATATTGAAGTATTTAGTTGTGTATGATCCCATCGTAATCAATGATTATTGTAAAATTCAAGGTATTATTCAAATATTTTTCTTCGCCATTCATAAAGGGTTAGAGGGGGAAGGGGATAGGTATAATGACAATTATTTAAAACAAAATCGGTGCGAGTCTAATTGTTTATGTTCGTCTCAAAATATTTATGAAGTATTATATGTACTGTCAAACTAATTCTTTGTGACTCTTTACTTCTATTCCCCCATATGTATAAATATCATTATTTATTGTTTCTTTTCAAACATCTCTTTTTCTCTCAAATGTATTTCTAAGACTACGCTTTATTTCACTGTGCGAACCTGCAAAATGTTGGGAAAAATTAATGTTTGCATGAAATTTCATTGCTGTTTAGAAAAGGGGGAGGAGGGGGTGAACAACCTGTTCGATAACTTTCCAGTGTTTAACTCTTGAAAGTATTTGATTTGATGCTTCATTTTTGTGTTCTATGTGAATAGTTTTTTGAAGATGTGAATAAAAAGCATGTAGGCAATGAATGTGAATGAAA